AAGCCTCTGGGAGGCTGAAAAAGGCCTCAAACTGGCTGAAAAGCAACTGTGAGGCGCAGTGCAGATAAGAGGGTGACGGGGGTGAGTGGGTGGGGATTGCGTGCACATGCGTAGGGGGAGTGGGGGGGCGCATTGCTTTCTGGGTGCTGGTACGCAAGCGTGCAAGTGCGCATACAATTTTTGGCACAGGAGCCCAAAAATGTTAGCCACACTGGCCTAGGCCCTCCAGTACCCAAAGGTAATTTAATTTTTATCATTCAGCAGAACTCCAAATATAAGCACAGAAATAATATGAAACAATATATATTTTTCTTTTGGATTCTGAAAGACTGGTATTTCCTTATGGAATATACATATACATATGCACACACACACACACACACACACATATATACATACATACATACATACATACATACATACATACATACATATATATATATACAGTGAAAAAAAACAACCATACTAATTAATCTTTTTAATAGTTCAATATTAGTCATATTTACTGTAGTCCATCAGAGGGCACTAGGGAGCTTAACTAACAGCTTAAGCATCATAAATAAATATACAGATTAACTGTACTTTTTAAAGTTCAAATTAAGATAACCCTAAAAAGCAGTAAGAAAAAAAATAACCCATTTTTGTATGTGTGCGAGATATGGCAGATCCGTAATCTAATAGTTCTTTGTTTTTCTACCTAATGTTTTCATTACAATTTAGCTTGAATTTTGCTTTATTAAAAGAGACATCTCTAGAAAAAAAAAATTAGGGCTCTGCCATATTTGTGAAATTAAATTTGTGAAACTGACATAATATGGAAAAAGCTGGTTGGGGATGCTGACTTTATTAAAGCTTCCCTTTGTAATGCTTAATTTTATTTAAAGGTAGTCTTTTTCCCCCCAAAGGAAGATTAATATACTGCATAACAAAACAGGTATATAAATGTAACCTATCTATTGTCTAACAGAATAGCCCTCCAATTAAATTCATTGAGCTTACTCGTCTATACAGTGGATTAAAGAAAAGGCAGGAAGAAAGAAACGGATATTTCACTCGCAAATCAAACGTTATCAGGCCTTCCCAGACCAAAGACAACCACTTCGGATTGAAGGCATGCATAAATTGATGTCAGTTTTACACTCCAGTTTCTGAATGGACCAACATCCGGTGATAGAACCCTTTGGATTAGTTGTGTGCAAGCAAGGTTGGTTATGTGCAAATCTATATCTAAAAAAAAGCAAAAGACCACTCACGCATCATCACAAAATCTCCAGAACCGTAAAGCCTACAAACTTGAAATTTGGCATGCATATTCCTCTTGGCTTCTAGGTGCTCACGAAGAAAATATTTTTCGGACTGACCATCAGAGCATTAGTATTTATTATTATTGTTGTTGTTGTTATTAACACGATCTGATGCTAAAGAGTTCTCCCCCTCCCCACCTGAAAAAAAATATCTTCCAAAGGCAAAACACAAGCAGAGGAGAGACGTTTCAATTTCAGTTTCAGTTTCACAGCCCCAAGCAGCTTTAGTACAGGACAGTTGAGCTAAGCCACACACAGGCTCCTTGCTGTCTCCTTGCTCACACAGCAAATACTATTTCAGTTTCCAAACAGCCCTCAACTCTCTTACACACTTGACAGGACACTAGCCAGATGAATATCAATGGATGCTGGTAGGCAGAGGCAGAATTCCCACCGTTATTTTCCTCCCCCAAAACTAAGCCTGACCACATGGGTATTGAGCTAGTAGTCCATGATCTACCTATCTATTGTAGGGACTTTAAAATAATCTCCTGCCACCAGATTTTAGTTTATAATCCTGGTCTCTGGCAGCCAGATCCAGAAAGAACCTTTAGCTCCTGCACAAATGAATTGCTCTTGCCCCAGGTAGCCTAACTATTTTTTGAGTACCTTTTTATATCGTCCATTTCTGAATACACCTAAAGCATTACAAGTCAATTTGTAAGTGATGGAAAAAAATGTCTAGGTTGCCTTAATTATCTTCCCACAAATTATTAGCTCTCTGCAGGAATGATTAAAGTCTTAACCTTGCCGTTGCTTCTTAAACCCTGCTTTGGTAAGAAATGCATTCTGGCAAGACCAATCTGTGGTTGCTGGGTATTGTGGCCTGTAGGCTGCCAGCCCCTCCAGCAGCCAAATCAGAGGAGGAGGAGGTGTGGGAATCAGGGTCAGCATCAGGGCAACCTGGGAGCGCCGCGGGGGAAGAGGGAATGGAGCAGGCAGAGAGAGAGAGAGAGAGAGAGAAAGGGAGGGAGGGGGAGGGGGAGCCTGGGCCGTCTGTCAGCCCTCAGATGGAGAGTCAACAGCCCCCAGGTCTTGAGGTGGCTGATGAGGAAGAGGAGGAACAGCTGGCTCCAGTGCCTGACATGTGGATGTGCAGATGGGAGAGGAGAGGAGAGCAGTGGAAATCTATGGGCCGGTCCTTGGGAAAAGCCACTGCTGCTAGTGAAGCCCCACCCCTAGCTCTGGGGATAAAAGGCAGGGGGTGGAGATGAATAGATGTGGAAGACAACTATTCATTTCCCTGCCGGACAGACTTGTTAGCCTGTGGGGAGAGAGAAACTTTTTGCCGGGGAAATTCAATATTTTAGAGCAAGGGTGTCAAACTGGATTTCTTCGAGGGCTGGATCTGCATTGCAGTTGTCCTCAGCGGGCCGGCTGGTGGGGGGGGAACGGGGGGAGATATGTTAGGGTTATGCCCAGTGATGGGATTCAAACATTTTTACTACCAGTTTGGTGGGCGTGGCTTAGTGAGAGTGTAGGGGAAGGTTCCTGCAAAATCCCCATTCCCTCCCCACCCACTAACCTGCTTTCCAGTTCCGTTCTCCTGTGCAGGGCAACCAGAGAAGACCCAGCCGATCAGCTGAGACTCAGTGGGAGGCAGAGAATAGATGGGGTGGGGCCAGTCAGAGGTGCGATTTGCCAGTTCTCCGAACTAGTCAAAATTACCACTACCGGTTCTCTAGTGTGTACCCCCCTCCTGGTGCCTCATTTTTGGCCTCCATGGCCTGCAGCACTATCTCGGGTGAAAATGGGCCGTGTGGAGGCCCCTGTGAGGCCTGTTTTAACCGGCGGAGGCTTCGCAGGCTGGTCTAATATTTCCAGGCGAGCCCCGCAGGCCAGATTTAAGCACTCGGCCAGATGTTGAATTTGACACCCCTGTTTTAGAGCTTGAAGAGAATTGTACAAATTTTGAGGCTGGAATACAGAATCTGAATGACAATTTTAGCTTCTGGTCAAAGCACGTTTGAAAATGCAATTAGTTATAGGTGAAAATAATTTTAACAATAAAGGGTTTTTTTGTTTTTTTGTAAAGAGCCGGAAGAGGTTTGTTATAATTCATTCCTTTTCAAATCTAGATTCTTCTCAGCATGCTAAATCTCCAAAAATGTATTTTAGGTGCAAAGATTCAGAGAGCAGGAGGAATATAGTTTTCTATCTTTATATATACTTTTTTTTTTTTTTTTAAAGGATGTTCTGGTATAATATATACTTAGCTGTAGTTTTTCGATCTCTTTGCTTCATGATGTTGTAGAATATAAATATATTCTGTAAAAGCAAATCCTCTTGGCAGCTGAATACAAAGTGACACGTGTCATTGACGGGCTAAATTATAAAGTTGCATTATCGGTCTTGGAAAAGGATTAGTTACCATGGCAACGAATAGTATGTCTACTGTCCTCCTGAACACAGTTATGTTTATATGTGTGTACATTTGTGTGTGTGTATTTGTCCAAAGGTTGCTGCTAGGACAGATAATACAGCTGGGGTTTTTTTCCCCAGCATAGTCATTAAAATTGAAAATAAACTATAAACACTGTTGTTTTGATTGCTAGTTCTTAGATCTTTTCCAATGATAGGAACAAGCACTGATTTTCTAAGGATTAAAGTTTATTTTCACATATATGACTTACCTAGTGGGGTAAACTATATATGCAGATATATACCAATAAAATATTTTATTGTTGGCATCGTCACAGTAAAAATATCAAAAGACACAGAAAGGTACTTTAAAACGAAGAAGTCTAATGTTAGTTTCAGTTTAATGTGGGAACCATATATTTATATCTAAGATTTGGGTCCTCTTAAAATAAGGCTCTACGCTCCTTAATTATTACTGGTTTTTTTTAAATTTTATGGATGTCTTAGCTAAGCTAAAATTTGGTTTTAATAACATTAAATCTGACATTTTTGAAGGGGCTGAAAGGTTAAAGTCTCATTAAAATATCACTATGCTTGTTCTAATTCAAGTTTGCTTATTTACTTAGTTTATATAGCTGCCCTTCTTTCAGGTGTTTCTAGGCAGCATACAAAAAATAAATAAAAATGTAAAAAAGCAAAACAAAAATAAAAACACATAGCAACTGGGCACAATCTAATCTATTTACTTCTGTTCATGGTGGTCATCCATTTCCTTTTGGTCTGAAGGACAATTATTATATTAATAAATATGTGTGTGCAACTTATTTCGTTGAATGAATGAATGAAATAGATATAGATATATCCTCCTGTTTTTCCCCATGACAACCCTGTGAGGTGGGCTGGGCTGAAGGAAAAGGACTGGTCTAGGGTCCCTCAGCTGTCTCTCATGGCTAAGGCGGGCGTAGAACTCTCAGTCTCTTGGTGATTGGCTCAGAGTCATCCAACTGGTTTTCATGCCTAAGGCAGGAGTAGAACTCTCCATCTCCTGGTGATTGGCTCAGAGTCACCCAGCTGGCTTTCATGCCTAAGATGGGACTAGAACTCCCCGTCTCCTGGTGATTGGCTCAGAGTCATCCAACTGGTTTTCATGCCTAAGGCGGGAGTAGAACTCTGTCTCTTGGTGATTGGCTCAGAGTCATCCAACTGGCTTTCATGCCTAAGGTGGGAATAGAACTCTCCATCTCTTGGTGATTGGCTCAGAGTCATCCAACTGGCTTTCATGCCTAAGGCGGCACTAGAACTCCCAACTTCCTGGTGACTCAGAGTCACCATGCTAGCTTTGATGGCTAAGGTAGGATTTGAACTCACAGTCTCCTATTTTCTAGCCTGGTACCTTAACCGCTAGACCAAGGGTGTCAAACTCACATTGTCACGTGACGTATTGCGACTTTCCCTCTTCGTTAAACCAGGGGGTGTGGCCAGTGCGTGACACATTCAGCCCGCGGGCCATGAGTTTGACACCCCTGCCCTAGACCAAGCTGTCTCTGTTATGAATATTATAATACTTTAATGTAGCCTTAATAGCTAATTACTTGATGATGCCTGGACAGGTGTCAATCACAAACATTTTTAATTTTGTCCATTTAATTCAGAGTTGGCAGTGAGGGATTAAGAGATCTTGGTTTTCTTTTTCTTCTTCTTCTTCTCCAGCAGCTTAGCATACTCAAAATGGGTTTTTCATGATCAAAAGAAGATTAAAATTGTATATGATTCAAAATATGAAATGTTTGCCTTCTCAGGAAGAAATGAATTATTTAGAGCTGTGCTCAGCAGGTTGAAATTAACAGGCATAGAATTTTAATGCTTTTCTAAAGTACAGATAGTCTTCGATGTACGACCACAATTGAGCTGTGATGGCCCGGGGCCTGGCACAAAGGCAACACAGTCAGATAATCAGTAGGGCTCCAACTTTGTCCCCAATGTACCTTCTGGGCTGGAGAAAAACTCTCCCAGGAACAGCCTTTTGGCTCCAGAGAATCAAGTCCAAAATGTGGTCAACAAAAACTGTAACTATAAGTCCAGTCAAGACAAAATGAGGTAATCAATCCGGCAGGGCAGGAGCAAGAATTCCAGGTGTGAAGGCACAGCAATAACTCAACATGGTTGGGAAGATGCCAGGAACACAGATAAGCAAAGTCAACACAAGATAAATTCACGTTTGCTCCCAGATGCCACACTCAGGATGCATCTCTTTTAAACTCTCTTCCCAGCTGTGGCTAATGAAGGGAATCAGGGCCCTTTCCTCCCCCGTAAGCCAGGCAACCCACGTTGCTCTCTTCTCCGTTCCCCCCTGCGTGTCCTAGGATGAAGATGGGGTGGGCCTGGGTCTTCCTCTGAACTCCCTCTCCCTTGTTCTACCTCTTCCCTGCTCTGCCCAGCCAGATTTTGCCCTTCCCCAGTTTCCTCCACAGCCAACAGAGTCACACTCCTGCTCCCTGTCAGCTGTTCGTCTTCCTCCTCGGATTCAGACTCTGAGAAGGGCATTATATGAGCCCAACATTTCTGTCGTTAAGTGAGACATTTGTTAAGTGAGTTTTGCCCCATTTTATGACCTTCCTTGCCACAGCTGTTAAGTGAATCAGTGCAGGTGTTAAATTAGTCACACGGTTGTTAAGTGAATCTGGTTCCCCCATTGACTTTGTTTGTGAGGAGGTCACAAATGGGGATCCTGGGACATAGCAATGGTCATAAGTATGAGTCAGTTGCCAAGCATCGAAATTTGCATCACGTGACCATGGGGATGCTGGAAATGTCGTGACTTTGAAAAATGGTCACAAGTCACATTTTCCAGTGCTGTTGCAACTTCGAACAGTCACTAAACTGTTGCAGGACGAGGACTATCTGTATTATCGTTTCAACATGCCTTCCCAACTTCCAAGGCTTTAGGTGACTTTACATGCCTGCGATTTTAAATGTTGAATGTAAATTTAATTGCAATTTGTGTAAATTAAATAATTGACAGTAATTTTAATGGTTACCGTTCATCTCTTGCAGGCATTGCTTCGATGACGGTCCCTGTCTACATTGCAGAAGTGGCCCCACCTCACCTGAGAGGCCGCTTAGTGACTATAAATACACTTTTCATCACAGGTGGGCAGTTCTTTGCCAGTGTGGTAGATGGCGCCTTCAGCTACCTTCCCAAGGGCGGATGGAGGTTGGTATGAATTTGATTTCATTTTTTAATTTTTAAAAAATGAAACCGCAACGCTTCTTTTCATTGTAGACAGAGGCAAGTTACACTTCTGAAATAAATTGTGTTTACAGCAACTATATTTCGTAAAATGGGGCAAAATTCACTTAACAGCTGTCTCGTTTAATCACAGGTGTTTGGGGCTCAGATGTGGCCATAAGCAGAGAACTACCTGTAGGGACTCTCTTAAAAAATATCCAAAACTAAACTCTTGCTGTTCTTCTAGGACAGGAGTGTCAAACTCAAATTTCATTGAGGGACCCATAGGGCTGTGGTTGACCTCGGGGGAGGTGTGGGGGCATGGCTGACTGGGTGGGTGTGGCCGACAGGGTGGGAGTGGCCGACGGAGAGTGGCCAGCTTGACGCCTCTCCCCAAATTGCTGGCATGTTTCCCCTTTGCACTGGGTAGACCAAGCCAAAGCCACGCTGGCCTGATGTTTCCCCTTCGTACTGCATAGACTTGGCCAAAGCCACGCTGGCCCGATGTTTCCCCTTTGCAGGTAGACAAGGCTGAAGCCACACTGGCCTGAAGTTTCTTCTTCACATTGGGTAGACTGGGCCAAAGCTACACTGGCCTGATATTTCCCCTTTGCACTGGGTAGACCAAACCAAAGACACGCTGGCCCGATGTTTCCCCTTCGTACTGGATAGACTAGGCCGAAGCCCCACTGGCCTGAAGTTTCTTCTTCACATTGGATAGACTGGGCCGAAGCCACACTGGCCCAATGTTTCCCCTTTGGACTGGGTAGACTTGGCCGAAGCCCCACTGGCCTGAAGTTTCTCCTTCACATTGGGTAGACTGGGCCGAAGCCACACTGGCCCAATGTTTCCCCTTTGCACTGGGTAGACTGGGCCAAAGCCAGACTGGCCCGATCTTTCCTCTTCGCATTGGGTAGACCAGGATGGCCCTCTGGGCCGGATCCAACCACATCCTGGGCCGTATCTGGCTCACGGGCCTGAAGTTTGACACCCCTATTCTAGGAAGAGAATGTTAATAAGCCCATATTAAAAAAAAACAAAAACCTGTAATTTTATCTCTCTCCCTGTAGGTATATGCTGGGCCTGTCAGCAGTTCCAGCTGTCATACAATTCGTCGGTTTCCTTTTCCTTCCCGAAAGCCCCCGCTGGCTTATTCAGAAAGGACAGACTCAAAAAGCACGGAGAATTCTCTCCCGGATGCGGGGAAATCAAACGATCGACGACGAATATGACAGCATTAAGAATAACATTGACGAGGAAGAAAAGGAAGTTGGGACAGGTAGGCTGAATTTTTATCGTCCATCACATACGGTTAGTGACTTGCACAGCAGAATTTTAATAAGTTGCTTTGGCATGCATTTTAAAGCAGAATTGCGCCTGTTTAAATTGTCTTACAAAATGGTGGTTTTCTTAAATGTTTGGAGATTTTCAGTCATTCAGCTCATGGTTGTCCCAAAGGCAGCTAGACATTCTGGTTTTCTTTGAAGACGTTTCGCTTCTCATCCAAGAAGCCTCTTCCACTCTGACTGGATGGCGGGGAACGGAAGGGTTTATACACCTTGCAGACAGCTGGTCATTTGTATCCTGTATTCTGCAATTTTTTTCCCCTCTGGAAATCCATTCCTACTCCCACCCCATTCAAAGGGTGTTCATCCCAAATTGTATAGCTAAAAGTCTGTAGAGATTTTCAATCATCCAGGTCATGGTTGTCCCAAAGGTGCTTTTTCAGGAAGCAACTGGACTTTCCCGTTTTTTCTTTTGAAGGTGTTTCGCTTCTCGGCCAAGAAGCTTCTATAGCTCTGACCAGATAGTGGGGAATGGAAGGATTTCTATTCCTTGCAGACAGCTGGTCATTTGCATCCTTTTTAGAGGGTCATTGAGGCCACTTGGAGGTTTAATCTGTGCCCTCAGGATCACCTGAGTGGGTGCAAATGGGTGTGGAGCCGCCTTGGAACTGCTGAAAGGTCTGTGTTGTAGACTGGAGATAGATAATATGGAGATAATATAGAGCTGCTTCGGCTCTGAATGGATGGTGGAGAAGGGAAGGATTTATACTCCTTGCAGACAAAGCTGGTCATTTGTATCCTTTTAAAGCGTCATTGAAGCCACTTGGAGGTTTGTCTGTGTCCTCAGGGTCACCTGAATAGTGCAAATGGCTGTGGAACCTTCTTGGAACTGCTGAAAGGATTATGTTGTAGACTGGAGATAAATCATATTGTATCCCTCCCACTCTGTTGAGAGGAGGCTGTTCAGTTTTGACATAGATGGCCTCTTGGACCCCTCTTACAAACCAAAAGAATGCAAATGACCAGCTGTCATTTAGAAATCTTAATTATTTCTAAAATAATTTTTTTATAATCTTCTAAAAGGCTAACAAAGACTTAAATATTTTGGATTCAGCCAGCCAGGCAGCCCTGTCATTTATTTAAAATTAGGATTCACAGTATTTCCATATTGATGCAAATTATGTAAGTTTTTAGCATCCACGTTCACCCTTTCTCAATAATCAAATCATTGTTCTTGCTTGCAGAGTTCTTTCCTCTTTTATTACTCTAGGTATATAAAACAGCTTAAGAAGTGCATAACTCTCAGAACAGCTGCACTGTTGACAGTACACAGATGAGGAATAATGTCTGAGTAGCAACAGAGCATTCTTTAGGAATTCAAAATTCTCAAGCTCTGTGTATTTTTGCTTGCAATTTATGTCTGCTCTTGAACATTAAACTACCAGCGACATAAATCTATGTAATAGCATTTGCCACTTTGCCAGTCATCTTGGAAAAACTTCTGTAATAAAGTTGTAGCTTGTAAATCGGAGGCTGTATTTTGAGATCAGTTATTAGTGAATAATTAGGTCATGTTCATATATTCAAATATCTGTGGAGATTCTCATTCATCCAGGTCAGGATTGTCCCAAAGGTGTTTTTTTTGTCAAAAGGCAACTGGATTATTTAAATCTGAAGACCCTTCAGAATCTTTTTATAATCTTTAGCTACATTTTAGCTGTAAAGTTACCTGCAATACCACACACTTTAAAGAAAAAACACAACAACTCATAAAGCACATCTGTCTATGAAGATTCTCAATCATCCAGGTTGTCCCAAAAGTGCTTTTTCAAAAGGCAACTGGACTTTATTTTTCCTTTAAGACGTTTCGCTTTTCCACCCAAGAAGCTTCTTCAGTTCTGTCAGAAGTTCTGTCAGAAATCAGAACTGAAGAAGCTTCTTGGATGGGAAGCGAAATATCTTCAAGGAAAAGCAAAGAAAAAGCCAGTTGCCTTTTGAAAAAAAGCATCTTCGGGTTCATATATTCACCTTTTTTAACCAGAGCAAATAATTGCTAACAAAAGGACTTTGATGTGCTAGCAAAACAAATGCAATTGGCAGTAAATAATACATCCTTGTACAGATTCCTGGGTAAAATAGTTTTATTCACATTTTGCTTCAAAGGTGTTATGGCTTCCTCGTATTTATCTCCTGTTGTTATGACAACAGGATTCTTTTCCCCACTGGCCTTAACATTTGTAATGTTCGCAAAAGGGGGGGAAAAAGTAAGAAAATGTTGATATCTTAAGTACAGTCTTAGAAAGAGGACAGCTAATTGAAATAGTAAAAACGACGATTTCTTTATTCCTCCAGGCATATATCTGCTTCAAAGGTTAAAAAACAACAACCCTGATTTGTAATGTATCATAAGCAGACATTTTGAACTTTTGTTAGAAAAAGAGATTCGGTAATGAGCTAAAATATGGCAATATTATGTGGGCAAAATTTAACACACATAATTATGTGTCTGGATAAATTTCCTGAGGGGGAGAAAAATTAATCAACTTGCCTTCAAAAGTTGTGGACGCAACACTGGAGGTTTTTAAGAAGAGACTGGGCAACCATTTTGTCTGAAATGGTACAGGGTCTCCTACAGGGGTTGACTAGAAGACCTCCAAGGTCCCTTCCAACTCTGTTATTCTATAGTCTATACATTATATATAAAACCATGCAGGTTTAGGAATTGGAAACTGAAGTGTCAAATGATGACTTGCACTTGTGAATGCAGCATGAACCACCAGATTCTGCTGGGTTTTGTATGCTATGGAAAATATAGTATCTGTTGAGTTAACATAACAGCTTCAGAGATCAAGTCATCAAATGTGGCATTTGTGACTACGAAATTATGGAGAAGTTTCCTGACAGTGAGAACAATCAATCAGTGGAATGACTTGAGAATAGAATAGAATAGAATAGAATAGAATAGAATAGAATAGAATAGAATAGAATGGAATAGAATGGAATAGAATAGAATAGAATAGAATGGAATGGAATGGAATAGAATAACAGAGTTGGAAGGTGTCATGCCCTTGGTAGAGTTGGACTCTGAGGGAGAGGAGGAACAGTCTACAGGGAGTGGAGGTGTGGCTCTGGAGGTTGGGGAGGAGGTTGGGGAAGGGGCAGAGGCCGGCTGGGCAGTCAGAGGAAGAACCAGGCCCATACCCTCTGCATCCTAGGACACGCAGGGAGGAATGGAGAAGGAAACAACTTGGCTTACGAGAGAGGAAGTGGCCATGATCCTCCTCGTTGGTTGCAGCTGGGGAGACTAGTATATAAGAGAGACAGTTACAACACAGCGTTGCCAGAAGCAAAGCGTGTGTTATTTTGCGCTGAAGTTATCTTGGTTGGCGTCGTTTCAACAGACTCTGTCTTGTTATCTCCTTGAATTTGGTAATTACTTAGCCTGGTCCGTTGTGGAAATTCCTTCACTGTAGTTTGTTTTAGTTTTTTATTTCACCTTCATCTGCTCATTAAGTTCGGACTGTATTGCCTTCATTGAAGGCTATTTTTGAGTACATTTTATCTCCAACGGAGAATTATTGAACAGTGGGGCCAAGTTGGAGGCATTAAAGAACATTTGGATTTTGTTACGTTTGTGTTACACTCCGAGTCATCACAGAAGGGATTTTGGAGGTCTTCTAGTCTAACCTCCTGCTTTCCTCCAGAAGTTGTGGATGCTCCATCATGAGAAGTTTTCAAGAAGAGATTGGACAACCTTTTGTCTGAAATGGTGTGTAAGGTCTCCTGCTTGAACCGGGGGAGGGGGGTTGGACTAGAAGACCTCCAAGGTCCTTTCCAACCCTGTTAATTCTGCTTCTCCCCGACTTCTGCTAATTTACTGGTTCTTCTGGAAAATATTCCTTTTTTTAAAAAACCAAGTCATTGAAAATGTATAAAACAATGCAGCAGCGCTGGGCTTGTGACTTACGGAACGTTTGGGACAATGCTGTTTTTAAAGTGTGTCCCTGTGTTTTGTGTTAAACTTGGAACAAAGCCAGTGTGTTTTGCGGGTAGGGTCAAGGCAAAGCTCTTTGAATATATGAGGGTTTTGTTTCAAGTCTTTTCTTGCGATTGGAGCAATTTTCACAGCTCAAAAATAGATTTGTTTCCTTTGACAATTGCTTTGTCCTCTCTTCTTTCCTTTCCTCCCTCCCTCCCTCTCCTGCCTTCCCTCTTTCCTGGCTATCTGCTAAAGAAAGGAAGGTAGGTTTCCTAATCCTGAATTGCTTGCAAAAAGCTTATAAAACTAACCTTTGAAAGCAGCAGGCTGACCGCCTTGATCTAATATAATTGGTCCTTGACTTGCGACACTTCATTTAGTGACCGAAGTTACAATAGCACCACAAATTGACTTACAACCATTTCTCACACTTAACGACCAAAGTCAATGAGGGAAGCCGGATTCACTTAATGTGATGACCCGGGGTGTGGCACAAAGGCAACACGGTCAGTTAATCAATAAGAGTCCCTTGGCCCCCAATGTCCAGGTTACCTTCTGGCTGGAGAAAAACTCTCACAGGAACAGCTGTTGGCTGCAGAGAATCAAGTCCAAAACGTGGTCAACAAAAACTGTTACTATAAGTCCAATCAAGGCAAGATGAGGTAGTTAGTCCGGCAGGGCAAGAGAAGGAATTCCAGAAGGCACAGCAATCTCAACATGGTTGGGAAGACACCAGGAATACAGATAAGCCAAGTCAACACAAGATAAACTCATGTTTGCTCCCAACAGCTGCCACATGCAGCCTGCATTTCTTTTAAACTTTCTTTCCACGTGTGGCTAATGAAGGGAATCAGGGCCCTGTCCTCCCCTGTAAGCCACGCAACCCACGTTGCTCCCTTCTCCGTTCCTTCCTGCGTGCCCTCGGATGAAGACGGGGTGGGCCTGGGTCTTCCTCTGAACTCCCTCTCCCTTGTTCTACCTCTCTCCTGCTCTGCCCAGCCGGACTTTGCCCTT